GTATTTGGTGTGCTGATCACGAAAATGACTTCCAATTTCATCCCAGACCTTTACTTTTCCCAAAATTTACCAATTTTGGACCAAAATTTTCAAGTCAAGTTTTACATAGTTTCCTGCAGTATTTGGTGTGCTTATCACGAAAATGACTTCCAATTTCATCCCAGACCTTTACTTTTCCCAAAATTTACCAATTTTGGACCAAAATTTTCAAGTCAAGTTTTACATAGTTTCCTGCAGTTTTTGGTGTGCTGATCACGAAAATGACTTCCAATTCATCCCAGACCTTTACTTTTCCCAAAATTTACCAATTCGGACCAAAATTTTCAAGTTGAGTTTATGTAGTTTCCTGCAGTAGTTTTTGGTGTGCTGATCACGAAAATGACTTCCAATTTCATCCCAGACCTTTACTTTTCCCAAAATTTACCAATTTTGGACCAAAATTTTAAGTCGAGTTTTACATAGTTTCCTGCAGTTTTTGGTGTGCTGATCACGAAAATGACTTCCAATTTCATCCCAGACCTTTACTTTTCCCCAAAATTTACCAATTTGTGACCAAAATTTCAATGTTTAGTTTCCTATTGTTTCCTGCAGTTTTCAGTAGGATAATCACGAAAATGACATTAAGTCCGGCCCTTTTGTTATGGAAGACCCCGTATTGGCCTTATTTTGCACATATTCTTCACCATCTCCTATAAGAATGTGTTCAGACGCATCGCTCGCCTACTACGCGCCCAAACTAAACGGCGCGTACCCCTAGTTAAAGTGACAAGACAAAGTGTGTTTTTGTCGCTTTGTTTTTTACATTGTGTTTCAGACATTTTTTCGGATTTATTCTGTTCATTTTGTTTCGTTTTATACATTGAATGAAATTCAACTGTTTGTGGTACACCGTGTAAAATAAAATATTTAATTTAAAAAAATTGAATGGCAGAGTAAAGCCGCTTCATCGTTGTGTTATTTCTTGCACACCCCTTCTTCTTTTTACGAAGTAAAGGTCCCAGACCTCCATGCTAGTGCCAGCAGCTCTTTACCCGACTTCAATTGTCTTATACAGCAATATTTTCTCAATTTCTAGTCTTTTTCAGCTTTTTTTGCAGTTTTTTTCAGAGGCACGTCACCATAGCTCAAAACTAATGTCAGATTCGGATTCCCCGACCCAAAATACCTACTAGGGGGAGATTTCAAGGCCGTAGGAATTTTTTCCGCGATTCCGAGATTCTAGATCATAGTGCAGCGCCGGGCGTGGATTGTCGGAACTGGCGCAGCATCGCAATGTCTGTTACGATAAGCCACTGCCTTGCGTACACCTAAGGAAGCAAGACCTTTGGCTTTGTCTACTACACTAACAATTGAATGGCAAGACTGATGGCCAAAATTTGGTGAGACAAAAAAGTCTCGCCATTTTTTGGCGAGAAACAAAAGTCTCGCCATTTTTTTGGCGAGAAACAAATGTCTCGCCACAATATGGCAATAATTGCAACCCCACTCTCTTTGATACTGGGAAATATATCCCAATCAAGATCACTCTGGTAAACACATCACTAACTACATCTTTCAATTACTCAAGTTGAAAACAATACAGGAAGCTATCACTTTCATATATGAAAATATTAACGTTAGGTTATATGATGTGAATTTGGTTTGCGTCAGCAAAGCGTTGCCCAACTATTTACTTTTTTTGTCATCGTTTAAAAAGACATTGGTCCAGTGGGAGGTCTCTTTCAGTGTCCATGTAGTTAGAGATAATAGGGTACTTCGGAGAAAACCCAGACCGGAAGTCTGCGACAGAACGGGAGAAACAAAAGAGCGTCGCGCGGCCGTGCTGAGCGGTGGTGGGGGCCGGAATCGGCGGAGTGGGGGTGAAGGCGGCGCGCGCATGCTACCCCCACTCCGCCGATTCCGGCCCCCAACACCGCTCAGCACGGCCGCGCGACGTTCAGTTGTTTCTCCCGTTCTGCCGCTGACTTCCGGTCTAGGTTTCCTCCGAAGTACCCTATTTCTTTAATAAGAGGCCTAAACAAAGCGACATCCATGATGACACAAGCTCTTACTCTCTCCTTTGACTTATTCCAATCCCCAGCTTAACCTTGCTGCACTTGGGCATTGTTGGAGGTTCCATGGACAGAACTCGGTTAATAAACTCGAGTTAAGAAAGTTCTGTGCACTATCTAGCACTCTCCGTTTCGCCGTCTCCACTGGACAAAATGCCAAAGTACAGCAGCAGCACTTTAAATCGCCAACACAGATATATTAAAGAAAACATTTTCGTGCACAGACAAGCAACACAGCAACAGGACTGCCATGTTGAAATTCATTTGTTGTCCTCGTTCTGTCGTCTGCTACAGTAGCACTACCGCAAAACAAATGCTACTGTAGCAGACGACACAACAAGTTAAGTCTCATAAGTGAAGATTTTTATGGCCAAATGCTATTTTTGAGGGGATCACGCCCATTTCTACGGTCTGCCTGGGAAGGCAGGTCAGCGCCGCAGGTCAAGGTAGGTGTATACGCCAGGCGTGGATTGTCGAAACTGGCGCAGCATCGCGAAGCCAGACACGGTCTGGCGTAGACCTTGTTTACTCTGTGAAATGAATAAATGTTGTACGCGCAGCTCAACTGCGGGAACAGGCCGCGCGGTGTCACGCGACACGGAACAAGAATTGCCCAACAAGCATCAGTGGAAGAGAAAATGGAATAACAAACGCCGGAAACAAAATTTGATGGCCACATGAAGTGATTGCGTGTTACAACTTAGGTGGGACAAAGTATGAAAAAAAAATCTATTGTACGTTGTATCATTCCGCCGCTGGAGGGAGGTGTTTGCAGAGCGGCAGGAGAATTGACATGATGAGCGGGGAAGTCCTGAAAGGCCTGGCGTGGAGCATTATTACTTCTGTGCCTCTCTTACCTTCTCTTTGGTGGTGAACCACCATCTCTGCAAGTAGTCTAATCGAGACCTACAATCGAAGCCCCTCACAACGTAGGAGTCATTTTGCTGGTCTGGATGAAGAGCTAGAGCCATTGTCGTCCTGACAATACCTCTTCGATTTTCCTCATATCAAGTATTATTTGAAGTTCAGTGGCTTCGTTCAAAAAAAGCTTAAAAACAGAGAAAATACAATCATTGTCAGTATATGGTCAAAGTGATAACTGCTGAGATTTTTTTTGAAAGATAAGCATACATAAAATATTTTGATAAAATTAGTTTCTATGGGGTTACCTGTTAAGTATGAATTATTTGGAGACATAAAAGGAATGTTGACCTCCATGCAAAATAGGGCTGATTAACATGTAAGTGGCGTAGCAACGCGAAGCCAGTAACGCCGAGACGCGGTCTGGCGTGCACCCACCTACTCGGTGGCGGATACATACAAGGATAGGGTTCGATACTTTGACGAGATGAATGTTCGCGTCCCGCTTTTGTAGAGTTCGAGTTGAGTAAATTATCAAACAGGACCAAGTAGACATGAACTCACAACCCGTGACGTGTGTGAACATTTTATGTTTGTCTTCTTCAGACAACTCTAAATCTGTAAGGTCCAGGCCAAGTTTGAAAATTTACTCAAGGTGCTGTCCTGATTGAACCAACGCACAGTAGACTGGCGGAACGAAATCTGTCACTAAATTCCATTGCGACCAATCGGATTGCGCTATTGCAGTCTTATTGATGACGATCGATTTGTCCCGCACTCAAGACTCCTTACGGACACCATGTACACTGTTAAAAAAAGTGCTGTAAATTAACAGCACTTATTCTGTTAAGTTTGATAGCAGCACGACTTGTTTTATTACGAGCATGTTGTAACCCTCGTTGCTGTTTTCTGACAGTTCGATTGTTATAAAACAATACTTCTGTGGAGTCTTCGATGAAGTCTTCGCTACATTTGTGATCTCATCGTGCTGTTATTAAACAAGACCCCTGTAACCTGACAACAATGTATGTTTTAAGATTGCAAAAGGCTGTTTCTAAACATGAAACCTGTTCAACGACAACACAACTATTTTGAATGACGATTACATTGTTCTTACTTGACAAGGAAATTGTTATGGAACGAAAGTGCTGTTTCTGGATGGGTTTCCCGATCAGGCACAAAACAATACTGTGGTTATTTAACAGCATTACCGTAGGTGATTGTGTTGTAATATTACAGTGGATTTTTAACAGTGTATAATACGGACGGTTTTGTGCAAGCGTAATTACGGATGGATTTTGGTTGTAATACGGATGATTTTATCCGTAATACAAAGGTTTTCGTGTCCGTAACATACAGTCGAAAATATCCGTATGGTACGGACGTAAAACTCTTTGTAATACGGATGATTTCATCCGTATTACAAGCAAAATCTATCCGTAATTGCGATTGCACAAAAATGTCCGTAATACAGATAGGGTGTATCCGTAAGAAGTTTAGTGTGTGAGACGCTCGGTAAAATGATCGGTAAATTCATTTATAAGTTGTGTATTGTGTCCTGCCAAAATGACCAAAAACTGTTCTTAAACCTACTTGGTTGCCAAATTACCGCGTTTAAAGCAGAGGCTGGGTCAAATTAAAGTAAGCAGACCCACCTGAGTACTTCTAGACATGAGATAAACAAAACAAAGTCAAAACAACAAGAGTTTACCCCAAACCATTTTCTTTTTGAAAATTCCTAGTTACTGTTAGTTTTTACATGGAAACATCAAAGATGGACAGCAGAAGGCTCCTCATGACGTGTTTAAAAGGTGATAAGCGGACGCGGCGTGAAATAGAAAAAAGTTCCAAATACCTGTTTTGGGGGGTTTCAATTTCTCGTGTCTACGATTTCCGCCCTGTACGACGCACAGTCACGGCCTGTTGGACGTCGATGCCCCTTCTTGATACCTTCCTTTGAGTCTTCTTACCCCTGTTGGATAGCGAGCCGTTTGGGAGAAAAAGCCAATGTCACATGGTGGCCGTGTCACATGGTACCCCACCTTCCCTTACGGTTTGGTTTCATGCGACACGAAAGGCTGACACCACTGTACGGCCGTGAGGCCCAGAGTCAACATGCTAACTCTCATGGATGTTCTCGTAATCAGCGCGTTCGTCCGGGTGTCCAGTAAATACGCGGTACAGTATGCCCATAGACGGTAAAAAATAACATTGTCTTGGTTTCAGAGCGACTGCTCTGAATCCAAATTTTATTCATTGGATCCCAGTGCTGTCTCACCTGGTTCATTATTTTTGATCAGGGTCCTTACAGTTTAAATATCCTAGAGGTAGGTCTCTGTCCTAAAGAAGAGGTAGGAGACATTGGACGTGATATGGAGATCCATACAATCCGACATCATCAGCGAGGCTTTAGATACCCCTTGATATCAGGAAACTTTACTGTTCGAAATGGAGCAGGAATGCCAGGAAAAAGTGCGGTAAGTATCCTGAGGCTACACGCGACAGTTGCAAAAGAAATCAATCCTGAAAGTTGTCGGGAAAGTGTTGTTTTGTTAATTGAACAGTACATTACAAACCTAACTGTCCACTAAGTACACACAAATATGCATGCTTGCAAGTGATCCAGGAAGCGGAAGAAGGGGATAACTCAATTTTTGCCATTTTCCAGGAGAAACCAAAAACGGTTAGCAGGGAAAACTAGAACAAAACAAATGAATGTTGCAGATGTTAATAATTTCAAAATGCATTAGTAAAATTTTGGGAAAAAAAATCAAAAGTGTAAGGTCACTCCGTCTGCGACTTATCACTTTGAAATGGAAACCAGAGTCAGCTCACCTTATATTTCCTAAATAAAGAGGAACTTGGAGACAAGTCAAGTGGAACAATAGTCTGGTGTATTTTTTGGATTTAGCTCTTTTTTTTTTTAATTGAAATTTAAAATTAAGGGGGGTTACAAGTACGACTCACACTGCTTGACGTGTAAACTCTCTAATTAAACAGGGCTGTTGGCAAGTTAATCTTTAGGCCATTTTGACTCAGATGAGTTTTCGCTTGCCCAGGATTTTGAGGTAGCTGAGAATCGCGTAAAATTGGTGGTCGTTGATATTGTCCCATCAAAATGCCTAGGGTTAAAAATTGAAGGTAACGTTTTTGAAAAAATTGACAAGGCAAATTTAACAATCTATTTTAAGCTTCAGAAAGTTGAATTATAAATCCGTCCCGATACAAGTACGCAGGGTCATTTACTGCTTGAGCTGCAGAACATCTGCAAATTTAGATGGCATGTTCAGCAGGTTCAGTAGGGCCCTTTTGCGCAAATGTAGATTTTCAGAGGGTTTGCGCAGGTCTTTTAGACATTCGCAGAATCGCCCTTAAATTTTCGAGGATAAGTATATTTGAAGTCCCTCAAAGACCCTGCCGAGAATTGAAGCGCTAACGATTTTTGAAAAAACTTGACAATGGCAAATTTTAACATGATTTTTTAACGCTTCATGAAAGTTGAATTATAAAATCCGTCCCGATAATAGTTCACGCTAGAGGGTCATTTTTACTGCTCTAGTATGCAGAACAAGTGGACAAATTTTGGATGGAAAGTTCCTAGCGGGGATTCAGTAGCTCTGCGCGCAGTGATATTTTGTCATTATTGGGCAAATATTTTGTCTGGTCTTGTGCCCTTCGCACACCCCACTTAAATGACAGCAGATCAACCACTTTATTTTCAAACTTATCCTTGAAGAACCTTCCCACGATGAACAGAAAGGACTCTGTAACAGTAGGAACTTGGTCAAAATTTGACCAAAAAATTATGTCAATGGCGCTACTGCCCCCTTAAATTGATATCATTGGTTAATCTCATGCAAACATCTGTTTTTGAAGCTTACATTCCAGATAGCCAAGTGGGATACTGTATCCGGATGGAGGAGTAACTTCATGGTGCTGAGAATTGGAGAAACCTGCCGGGCATTTAACATGTATGGAGGATCATACAAGGCGTACCTCCTGAAGCACTTTCCATTTTATCCACTGAAGTGCCCCATCTACGATGTAAGTATGGTCATGTACTATTATTAGAGACTAACTTTGTATCCGAGTCGTTTCTCTCAAGGCCTCGCTAAGACGAACAAAAAAAAACCAACACAACTCTTGTTTTTTGAAAATAAGGATACTTGGAAGTAGAAATTAATACAATGGTTGTCATTTAACTAAAAGTTTCTGCCCAGAGAAAAGAGTCAAATTTTCTAAAGGAAAACGATGACGACTCAAGCGTTGATGACTAGTTGGCTATGATGTTGTGGCAACTCGTTCTCTTGAGGGGGAGACTCGTCATTCTACGTAAATAATTCAGATTTTCGTTTGTTTTTTTTGTTATGTTTTTTTTTAAATTTTTCGTGTCAAACTCTTGTATAGGGTGGCGGGTGGCTGGCTGGCTGGTTTTGAAATTCAAAACCTTTTGGACATAAGATGCCATTTTTAAATTGTTTTTCCCCAGCATAAGTTAGACCGTTCTAACTTAAAAGCCAATTCACTCAATTGCAAAACTTCAGTATTACGGGTCTTGCGCGCACGATTTAAGCCAGATCATGATTGTTTCGATTACAAAATTTTTCCGATGTTGCACCTGTAGTAATACACGAAGGCGTATTCCAGCCATTGTGGCTCTGAGATTGGCCTCAGCGCGTGCCATCGACTCGTGACTTGGCACACGACTTTTCCAAGTCGGCACGTTACTGGGCCAAGTCAGGATGTGACTTGTTCAAGTCGTCACGTGACTTGGCCACTTTGTCATGGACCTTGACAAATTCGCTCTGGGCCTTGGCCAATTTGGCCTGGACCTTTGCCAAGTCGGCACGTGTCTTGAACAATTGATCCAGGAAGCGGAAGAAGGGAATAACTTGACTTATCCCCAAATTGAGTTTTTATTTTATTATTGTGCCTTAGAATAGTTTACATCATTACACCAAATTATTTGACTGAATTCCAAGCAGTTTAGGAGAAAATCCACATGGAAAAAGGGTATAACTCAACTTAACCCCTTTTACAGTCTAAATTTCATTGGAAAATGGAGATAACTCAACCTTAGTCTACATGAGTCCGTTTGACAAATTGGCAAAAGGATATAACTCAACTTGTGTTTTTATGAATCTAGTGTAAAAAGAATCAACTCAACTTAACCCCACCTTAATTTAAAATTTCAATTTGGAAAAAAGAGCTAAGTCCAAAAAATACACCAGAGTAACATACACTTTATGTAGACTATTGTTCCACTTGACTTGTCTCCAAATTCCACTTTGTTTAGGAAATATAAGGTGAGGTGACTCTGTTTTCCATTTCAACGGAAAGTGATAAGTCGCAGAAATCCTCTACGGAGTGACCTTACACTTTTGATTTTTTTCCAAAATTTTACTAATGCTTTTTGAAATTATTAACATCTGCAACATTCATTTGTTTTGTTTTAGTTTTCCCTGCTAACAGTTTTTTGTTTCTCCTGAAAAATGGCCAAAATTGAATTATCCCCTTCTTCCGCCTCCTGGATCAATTCGGCCTCGGGCTCCACTCGTCTCTTGGCCTTCGTCCTCCCCTCGACTCGAATAGACACTTCCACCAGAACGCCGAGTGAAGAACAAGAGGAAGAAATGGTACCGCACAGTAAACTTCTTACGGATACATCCTATCTGTATTACGGACATTTTTGTGCAATTGCAATTACGGATAGATTTTGCCTTGTAATACGGATGAAATCATCCGTATTACAAAGAGTTTTACGTCCGTACCATACGGATATTTTCGTCTGTATGTTACGGACGTAAAACTCTTTGTAATACGGATGATTTCATCCGTATTACAAGCAAAATCTATCCGTAATTGCAATTGCACAAAAATGTCCGTAACACAGATAGGATGTATCCGTAAGAAGTTTAGTGTGCGGAACCTGTTCCCAATCGTCCTATTTAAAGGTTTTGGCAGTTTAAAATCATGAAACTTGTCTTTGTCTGATTTAAAACAATTTTTAGAACCCAAATGAACCCGTAATATGATCAAATGAGCGACTTTCGTGGGCTGTTTCCGGCTTTTGTTATTCTTCTTGTTCTCAACTCGGCGCTCTGGTGGAAGTGACTTTAGTTTCAAAATCAAGTGCCCATCAAAACCTTTACATTAATTAGCACTGCTAATTCATTTTGTACACCGAGCACATTCTTACTGATATTTTTAAGAACAGCTGGCTATTAAATGTCATATACATTAAAAAAGCGGACAAAAGTCAGGATGAAACAAAAACGTATGCTTCTATAAAAAAAGATCTGTGTGAGGTCTTATGGCAAAGGTTTTGACTGGCACACAACTACCAAAGTCCATGGGTCCAGGAAAAAATCCTAAGAGTTCCTTATTCTGCCCAAGCATGTAGTGCCTGTTTGATTGTACTATGTAAGTGGTGGGTGACGATCGGTCTGCAGGGGGCGTACCCGTTCTACAATGTCTCTTCTCACCACGACTCGATTCCGAATTTTCCCAACTTGCCTTACGGCCGGTTCCGCATGCACGGGTTGGGGCACCACTTACAAACGCCCGCCCACAATGCCCCCAATGGGTGCACCCGCTGGGTGATCGAGATCGTCGAGAAGGTCTCAAGTGGAGGGTAACATCTCCCATACAACAGGCGGAAGCGACACTGGTAAAACTAAAGCGTAACTCTATGCTTGAGTCAAGCATAAAGTTACGCTTGAAATGGAGCATACTATGGAAATTCCTCCATGCATTTAGATAGGGGGAATCTTGAGGGAAGAATCTGTTACGCTTGATTTCAACGCTTGAAAACAGAGGGTAACACTACGCTTTAGTTTTACCAGTGGAGGCTCAGGGACACCGCCTCCCAGTGTTTGTTTCATGTTATTTTACTAAAGTGCTCAGAGCTTCGTATGCTCTGCAGACTTAAAAGTGCACATGGTTTACTCTCACAAGAGTCAACTTTAAGATTGACGCTTATTATCGACTATTTGACAGCACAGATTAAAAGTCCAGCACTAGTAGCGAGAAAGACAACCCCTATGACGAGACACAATTTTGTAAGCACCCAACACCATTTAACGCAAGGGTGCTCCTTCTACCAATATGTACGAATGTCTGCATAAAAAACTTCGCATGCGCAAAGTTGAGTGAGACTACGGCTCGGTCGACTCGGCTAAAATGTAATCCAAAATTAAGTTTTTGGCCCGCCCTTCTATTCAAAAAATAGGGGGAGGGCCTATGCATTTGCCTTTGTGTCTGTGTGTTGTTGTTGTTGTTGGCGTCTGTGTACAAGGAAGGAGTTGAGCTAGAGTAACCAGATTTGGAGGGTACTTCAGGAGTACCTTCCAAACAAATAATCCGGTGGTGCAAATCCCGTCCGGGTCGCACTAGGGCTGCTGCAGGTGCATCATGGTTTACATGAGCGGGAGGGGGATTTCCGCCATTATTGGTGCTAGCAGGGCACATAGGGGTATTTTCGGAATCGGGGCGACGAGACAAGATGAATGGACCTGGTCCCGACCCCATCGGCCGCTTTTACAAGTTGGCCAGATCAGGATCTTCATAAAAGGGGGTTGACCGACTAAAAAAAATTATTGCAGATTTCGATTGGTCTCAGCAAGACCTTTTCAACGAGGGGTCGGAAAGGGGGTCCAGGAGCCCGACTTCGTCTATTAGTCACATCAGGATCTTGAAAAAAAGGGGTCGACCGACTGAAAATTTTTACTTAAGTTTTGGATAGGTCTTGGCAAGACCTCTTCAACGAGGGGTCGGAAGGGGGGTCCAGGAGCCCGCCTTCATGAGTTATGGGAAAAAGTGCGACGGACTCGTTTTGCGCTCCTGCTGGGCCTCTATTGCAAGGAGTTGCAGTAGCATGGCAAATATGGGTATTTTCGGAATGAGGGTGAAGAGACAAATGAAACGGGCATATTCTAAGGACAGTTGGAGTAAAAAGTGTAAGGACTATTGCATATTGTGAATAGAAGGGCGGGCCTAAGTCACGATGGTACATCGATAACTTTGCTTTACCCGCTCACGGTGTGTGTGATGCGAGCGGGCCGAAGGCCCGGGCCTTCCACTGGCCAAGTTGGGTCTGATGCGAGGGCCGAAGGCCCGAGAAAAGGCCGCCGGCAGGCCAAGCTGGGCCGGCCCCCTGTCGAACCGAGTTGCCGGCGCAGCGAAGCGGAGCTGGCAACTCGGTTCGACGGAAGGGCGGGCCCTAGCTTGTTTTTAAAATTCAATTGGTCTCTTCGAACGCCGGAATGCAGGGACGTATCAGGCGACACGCATTCAGCGCCTCAGGCACCGTCTGCAACGCGACTCCAGCAACGCCATTGAGGATCTCGGAAGTACTGCACTCTAGAGTTCTTACGGATAAGTCATCACCGTAAGCTACGGACAAAATTGATTCATTGTAATTACGGATGGGCTGGTCAATATTACGGAGTTTGACATCTGTATTACAGATAAAAAGCATCTTCAGGTTTTGAGAATTTCTGTGTGGACAAAATTATTCGTAAATACTAACACAACTATTGATCCATAATTATGGCTACTAAGCCCATCCGTATTATCAACTCAACTTGTCCGTAATCATGATCTGAACCTACCAATCCATACTAACATCAACTTAACTTCAATATGAAGACTAATAAGGTGCAATTTGGTTTCATTAGTTTTCAAACTAATAATAGTACTTTTCATGTATATTGCATCATTCACCTATTGACTATCCAAACTAAAATCTTTTAAGTGCCATTTTGACCGTAGTCAAACGGTTATTAAATTCCTCCGTTACTGTGTCTGAATTTTCCTGTTCCAATGGGGAACGAAATTTCCTTCTGTGGGCAGGCAACACACGCTTACCATGCCCAAACATGAATTGTCATGTTTGGGATGCTGAAGTTCCTACTATAATCTGCCAAATAGGGTACTTCGGAGGAAGCCTAGACCGGAAGTCAGCGACAGAACGGGAGAAACAAAAGAGCATCGCGCGGCCGTGCTGAGCGGTGGTGGGGGTGGAAATCGGCGGAGTGGGGGTGAAGGCGGCGCGCGCATGCTACCCCACTCTGCCGATTCCGGCCCCCACCACCGCTCAGCACGGCCGCGCGACGCTCTTTTGTTTCTCCCCTTCTGTCGCTGACTTCCGGTCTAGGTTTCCTCCGAAGTACCCTATTTCCTACTCCAAATGAACATGAAATTTCCAGTTTGGGCAATGGAATACTTTTTTCAGTGCCCTGGGCCAGAAATGACACTTTCCTGCGGGGGCAAGTGAATTTACTTGCCTAATGGCCTAGGAAATCTCCACGAATTTTATTACAAACTGTGTTGGGCATAATAGCTGGAACACACCAGATGTTGCTAGCTTGAAAGAGAGGTCGTCCTTCGTGCCCAATCCAGGAAGCACTCCTGAAGAGTAGAGACTTCACTTCGATTTCTGTATAACTATGGCTCAACAGAATCTCAGAAGTCCCTCAAATGCTTTCACCCTGCTTCTCATTGATCTTATGCCTGAGGTATTACGTACAATGAACGACTCTCCGGTAAGTTGTGTTCATTGGATTTGCTTCAACTGTTGGTCCTCTATATGTGTACTGAGGTGAACTTTTGTATTTAAGATCGCTAGCTCTAGCTATTGGAAAAGGAAGATGTTCAAGAATACATGTTGCCAGAAGAAAGGAAATAAATCAATTTAAAAGGAATTACGATAACCGTGTCGACACTTTCCTTTGTAATTGCAATAGTAATGGTTTGACTTTCCAATAAGGGGTGCCGATAACTGTATTTTGGCTGCCGACGACTGAGTTTTTGGTAACCATTTTCTCAGGTTAAGTAAGAGCGACGTAAAAAGTTTATCGTGAAATCTTTGTCAGCCACTTCGTTGTCTAGGTCCTTCTGAGGTGTCTGGAACAAGTCGCGCGGATCTAAATGTAATAACCTGGGTAATTCCGTGCGTAGCGTGCCTTTTCACGTTCTTAAAATCTGGGAAAAAATTCTTTCTTGCCTGTGCTTTTTGGCCCGTCCCGTTCATTTTTTGTAAAAAAAAATGACGGAGGGACGGGCATATAGTATGATCCCTGCTGTGCGTCCGTTCGTCCGAGGACTTCCCGTGGTCCGATCTTGACCAAATTTGGTATGCAGCCTCCTTGGGTGACCCTAAGAACCGCCCGGTGGCAGCAAATCCGATCCGAGCCCCGGGGGCGCTGCTGCAGGTGCATCATGGTCTTCATGGGGTCGAGGAGGATCTCGGCAACGGATGCAGCTGGGAGGGCATGTAGGGGTATTTTTGGAATCGGGGCGACGAGAAAAAACCAATGGTGCCAGTTTCGAGCGAATCGGAGAAGTTCGGACCCGGGTTCAAATCCCAGCGGGGTATTTTTGGAACATTCTTTTTATTCGAGTTTTCGCATTGTTTCTGATGTTTTTGAGGGTGCTGATGACGAAAATGACATTTATTTTAACCCCAGACTGAGGTTTCATTCCCGTCAGGGTCAAACATAGGCGAAATTCGTACGTTTCTCAATCTACGGGACGGGCCAAAGTTGCCGATGTATATCGCTACTTTTCCTGTTATTTTACTCAAATGCATTACTTGGGACCCCTAAACGACGATCTGAGTGTGGCCACGCGCAAAAGTTTACATGGGTGTACTAGGTCGGTTAGCGTTGCGTTGCGCGCGCCGGACGGAATCCAGACGTCCTTTCAACGCGCCCCGGCGCACAGTGATGCAAAACCGAAAAAAAGTCGCGCAGAAAGCACTTTTTGTTGATTTGTTCCATCCGCAAGGGGGTTGTTGTTTTGGAGCGCAGAAAAGATCGAACTACATGGAGGCGGAACTCTTTTGTGCCATAATATGGGTAGTCCTATCTTTTTATGGCGCTGAAGTAGAGCAATTTGAGGCAAAAACCAAATGTAGCTGCATGCGGTGTGAATGTAACAAGCTAGGGCCCGCCCTTCCGTCGAACCGAGTTGCCAGCTCCGCTTCGCTGCGCCGGCAACTCGGTTCGACAGGGGGCCGGCCCAGCTTGGCCTGCCGGCGGCCTTTTCTCGGGCCTTCGGCCCTCGCATCAGACCCAACTTGGCCAGTGGAAGGCCCGGGCCTTTGGCCCGCTCGCATCACACACACCGTGAGCGGGTAAAGCAAAGTTATCGATGTACCATCGTGACTTAGGCCCGCCCTTCTATTCACAATATGCAATAGTCCTTACGCTTTTTACTCCAACTGTCCTTAGAATATGCCCATTTCATTTGTCTCTTCGCCCTCATTCCGAAAATACCCATATTTGCCATGCTACTGCAACTCCTTGCAATAGAGGCACAGCAGGAGCGCAAAACGAGCCCGTCGCACTTTTTCCCATAACTCATGAAGGCGGGCTCCTGGACCCCCCTTCCGACCCCTCGTTGAAGAGGTCTTGCCAAGACCTATCGAAAACTTAAGTAAAAATTTTCAGTCGGTCGACCCCCTTTTTTCAAGATCCTGATGTGACTAATAGACGAAGTCGGGCTCCTGGACCCCCTTTCCGACCCCTCGTTGAAAAGGTCTTGCTGAGACCAATCATCGAAATCTGCAATAAATTTTTTTAGTCGGTCGACCCCCTTTTTTGAAAATCCTGATCTGGCCAACTTGTAAAAGCGGCCGATGGGGTCGGGACTAGGTCCATTCATCTTGCCTCGTCGCCCCGATTCCAAAAATACACCTATGTGCCCTGCTAGCACCAAAAATGGCGGAAATC